AGGATGGGGGTCTCCCCGAGGAGCCACGCACGCTGCCAGCCACCTGCGCGCGCTGATGCTGGGTGCCGGAGGGTGCTGTGCCGGGCACCGCATGGGGCTGTCCGGGGCTGATGAGAGGCACAGCCCCATCCCGGCCCCACGGTCCCTGAACATAGGGAGGTGCTGGGTCTGCCCCGGGAGCCGAGCCCTCCCTGCCGTGGCCCGTGCCATGTCTTTCCTAGCCTCCTGCTGCAGCAGGCGAGGCCGTCCGTCCGTCCTTTCTGCTGTCCGTGGCGCCTTCCTGGGGCTCAGAGGGGTGGGGGTCTGTCTGGAGCAGCGCTTGTACCCCGGCACCTGCCCGAGCCCCGCACCCCATCGCCTCCTGCCGCCTGCCTCTGCCCGGCTTGGCCCGGCCCTGCCTCAGCTCAGCATCCTCTGCCACCTTGGCCATATCTGCACTACGCCAGGCTTGTGTCTGTGGTTTGTTGACGGTGAATAATAACGCACTTTAAAAATAACGTGGCTTGTAGCCTTTGTCGTAATAAAGTGGTAGCGAACATCCTCCTGTGGCTTGCGGGCCTCTGTTACCCTAGGGAGCGGCTGGCAGCGGCATGGTCCCTGCCTGTCTTCTGCCTGCCACGGGCTCAGCCCGGCTGTCCCCTCCGCCGCGGTCGGCACCCCGGAGCCTGGCAGGGCTCGCGAGCGTCCCAGCACCATCGGCTGCCCGCATGGGCACTGGTTCAGGGCTGGGGGGTGGCGGAGGCATGCGGCGGGGAGAGCAGGGCGTGCTTGTGTATGTGCATGAGTGTAGCAGTGGCCCGAGCTGTATCCAGCCCCAGCTCTCTACATCCCACGTCCCGCTCCGGGAGTGGGAATTGCCGTTGTCCACGCCGGTCCCTCTCCTGGGCGCAGGCTGAGCCGCGGGGACGGGAGAGGAGCTGCTGCCCTGCGCGCCCAGGCTGCCGAAGCGAAGGCTGGGAGTGTCAAACGCCGTCATTCTGCCTTTATTTGAGTATCTTCACATCTCATTCAACAAAACGGGTTTTTTAAAAATAAAATGCCCAGTGGAGCTAGGCCTTTGGGTAGATAAATGCGTTTCTGTAACGTCGTCTTACCACAATACAGCGAGTGAACAGGAGCTTTCCCTGGGCTGGAGGTAATCAGCAGGACCGGCACTTCATACAGAGAAGTAGCAAACTACAGACCACGTACCACGACACGCGGAACGTAACACCCGACAGGAGCTTCCGTTTGGTTTTTTATACAAACCGATAGAATAAAAAAATTAGAGTGTAGTAGAATATCCAGCAACAAAAATGGTAGAAAGGATCCGTACCTGATTGTATGAAAGCAGCATCTCAGCAAAGTGCGGTGGCGTCATGCGCGGCAGCGGCAGCCGTCGCCCGCATGGGCAGGGTATTGCTTGGCGTGCCCCGGGCTGCGCCCCGAGGCCGGGTATTGCGTGGCTTCCTTCGTGGCTCTGGCTAAGCGAGCAAAGCAGCAGGTAATCTACACGCGGTCGTCGCTAACGGGGCGGCGCACCCGGCGCGCTCCCCCGCAGAAGGGAGGGTGGGCCGCCAGGCCGCCGGGCTCCCCGCCAGAGGCAGGGGGGGGTTTGGCGGGGGGTGGGGGGGGGGGGGCCGCCGC